TTATTGTAATGTTTTGTATATACGTCATAACCTTAATTATTACCTAAAGAATAGTGACAGACATAAAATAAACACTAGAAATAAGGACAAACTTACTACGCCATTGTTTCGTCTACAAAAAGTAAATAAGTCGTTCATGGGGCAAAGTGTGCGCATGTATAATAAAATCCCACAGTCGATATTAAGTCTGCCGCTTGACCAATTTAAATGTAAAATTAAAAATCAACTGATGATTAAAGCATATTATACCATTTCGGAATATCTCGACGACGCCAATGTGTGGAGTTAATACTGTTGATACTCACGTAGGCTAGAATAAGACTATTATACCTGTATATTATATTGTACCCTGATATTTTTGAAAAAGAGCAACTGTTGAGTTTCTTGCCGGTCTCTTCTCAACAGAAACCGCTTTCCGAACCGGTGGTACCTTACGAACCTATACACATAATCTTTGATGTAAAATTTGACGATTCATAAGAGCGCGCAAGCGTCTATTTGAATAAATATATTTTTGATTTTGATTTTGATTTGATGATGTTCAATTAACGATGCCCTCCAAACATTATCCATGACCTTAACATACGCCGAAACAAAGGTAGCATAGCCAGCAAAATTATCCCCTAAATATTCTCAAACCAATATGTAATATATCAAAAACATTGGAATCTCTCTACTCTAACGAACTGTTCACTCTTTACATGGCTATTTGTTAATAAATATACAGTTACTTAATTATATAAATCAACATCAATGAGAGAGACACATTCAGCGTTAGTTTGTGTTTGTTTAGGCTTTGTTAGTTATGTGAGTAGCAGAGCTAATTATAAATTTATATAAATGTAGTCTTCACCTTGTAGCATAATGTCACAGGTTCATACCCAAGGCTTAAGTGAATATGTATCATTAATGAAAGTTGAAATTCAAAGGTGGTTTTCGGTAACTCACGTTTTGGGCCGGGCAATCGGTGTCGAACCGGTTCCTCATCTGCCGTAATGTCACACTTAATTTTCTCTGTTTACCCCAATTGAGGCGAGAAGCTTGCGTATAGTAAAACGATTCCCTATAAAACTAACGAACTGTGGTAGGACCACGCAGCAGCTTCGGCTGTTGCACGAATGGGCAGGCTCATCCGGGTTAATACCACAACCTCCCAGAAGAGCGGCGTAAAGTGGAAGTATAATACTTTCGCGTTTCGTCTGGTGAGTGGGGTGGCCGGAGCCCAATTTTCAAAATGTTGTCAAGGCATCTGCAACGCTCGGATGTAGCAAAAGTTTATGGGCAGCGGTATTCACTTAATATCAGGTGAACCGCCTGCTCGCTTGGCAACTTTTCACATAAAAAAAACATCTTTCAGTTCTCTTTTATCAACTTCATTAAGATCGTAGTGTAGTGTTTTTTTCATCAGGTTTTTTATCTCGCTACAATACAAAGAAAACTAGCCTCCTATAGAGCAGGTTGCTAAATAAATAAGTTAATTTACTCTCCAAGCACAAAACACACTTTATAAAAAGAGACACTACCGTGCGAGTGTACCTTAAAATTACACCAGGGCCTTTTTTCTCTCTTCTCTCGGGCGGTTAGAACAAAGACAATTTTTTTGTTCGAAAAGACAAAGCGAAAAACCGCTATTTTTCCGAACAAAGCTAAGGTGAGTTCATACGTTTTTATTTCATTAAAGCTTTCATTGTTAAAGTATTTTTGTTTGTATTCACTTTGTGATACGTGTAGCATGTTACTTTAACGTTCGGCACGCTTTTGCCTAAAGTTTCATATGATCGGGTAGTCATGTAATTACTGTAATAGATATTTTGTATAAAGAATTCTGATTAGCTCCTAATTTGTAATTACTACGCAGGGTTGCACCATCGAATTGTAGTCCATACAAACAACGTAATGTTTTTCTTACTTGACAGCTATTGTGACCGCTTGTGAGACAATAATTACATACTTCGATTTACTCCTTCTCGGTTTTTTCTTATCTTAGTCATTATAATACAAATTTATGATCAATAAGACAAGAATAATCAACATATTGAACAATAATTAGCTCTAATTTCTGGAACTACCAGTAGGATTTGAAGAAAATATATTTGCATTTAAAAGCCCAATTCTTGAGGAAGGTTTATAGCCTTTCTGTGCTTGAATCCTCGTATTATCTAAATTATGCCAGACTGTCTGGAGCTGAACTCGGTGATTTATTCACGCATAAAACTTCATTACGTCACCGACTTGGCACTGGCTTACAATCTGGCTACACGGTTCTGATTCTATTGACATTTCTATAGCATCTACACACTTAAATCGGGACTTTATTATTTATACAGTTAAGTGCAAGTTTGCCTAGCAGTTGGGATTAGTTATGTGCCCACTGCATATCGATTATCGACGGACCGATTAACGATGTTACTTACGAGGGATTCGCTTAATTCATAGTCCAAGCGTTGCCACGTATCTCTGTCATACAGTAGCTTGGAATTGACAAGATATTACAAATAACCGTAGCAATAATAGACGACGGTGTTTTGAAAACACCGTGGTCTATTGTTGCCACATCTATCATGTCCTTTGATCAGAGAAAGAGAGAGAGAGAGAGAGAACAGACTGACAACATCCACATTCGACATTATATAGCCGCACATCATCTTCTATATAGAGGACTAGCTTTTCGCCCGCGGCTTTGAAGCACTCAAATAAATATCTTTCTTTAACCATTCAAACCCTTAGAACACTTTTTTCCAATTAAAATAGCCTATGTCCTTTCTCAGGCTCTAGACTATCTGTGGAGCATATTTCATTTGAATCGGTTCAGTAGTTTTGGCGTGAAAGCGAGACAGACAGACAGAGTTACTTTCGTTAGACGTTATAATATTAGTATGGATTGCAAATAATAAACGACAAAAACATTGCAATAATAATATTTTTGTATAGAGTCACCTCTAAATGTCTTAGATGTTATTGAGCTTTGTAATATAGTTGTTCTCTCAAAAAATTCTCATGTCATACAAAGTCTTAGAAAAATCTCGCAAAAAACGTATTGGGACGAAGTGCGTTACAATTTAATGAACTTATTCTAATCAACAGATGCATTGCCTGGTACCATCAGATGGGATGGCAGTCAAGTGCTGGACAGTTTTAAAATTAAAAATTAAAAAAAACTAGTAGAATGGACGAAAAAGACGGATGGTATTTCAACCCTCGACCAAATCTTAATGTCTCTCAGCTCTACCATTACATTTGACAAAATAATACGAAAATAGAGAAAAGCGCCTTTTTAAATTATTATTGCACAATTAAGTAAGTAAAGCAGAAGTTGTTTGTAATATTAGCATTTTCTAAAATCAGTAAGCGGACAGACGGTTCACCTGATATTTAAGTGATTACCTTACATTGAATTCTGACTTTGGTAAACTAAGAGCTTGGTTTTGCTAACGTATATAAAACAGATGCATAATCATGGAGTTGCTAACTCTGCGTTACAAAATAATTTAACCAGTCATAGAATAAAATAACAAAGAATGGTTGAATGAATGAATATACTTTATTGCACACCAAAAATAAAACAAACTCAAATTAAAACTTAATGTAGTGATGGATACAATGGGCAACATCAATGGTGCTCGAGCTTTTCATTGTTTCGACTTATTTAGTTTAAAAGCTTGAACTGTTTGTATTAAAGTGGCAAACGCGAAAGTGCCTTTTCAAAATAAACAGCTTCATAAACATATTTCATAACCCCAAACGCCGTGTATGAATTTGTATACAGACTCATTTTTAAACTTTTCTTGTGTGCATATAATTAGTCTTAATTTATGTTAGCTATAACTCGGTATGGTATTGATTTCCTTTTCAATAGAAAACTGGGTTCTAACTCAAGCAATATACTTGCGAATTGATTACCCAGTTTCTAGTTTCGTTTTTAGCCATATATTTATCGTGTGTTGCTTATGACTTTATTTCATCGCCAAGGAATTGTTTTAAAAATTTTTGATGTCATTGTGGAAACAATATCAGATACATTAAGTAATAAAGTTTAATACATACATTGTGAATTGAGTTTTACGTGTTAAGAATAACGATTAATTTCGTCTGTATACAAGAATGAACGGTGACTGAGAGCTCACGACTGGTTTTCCTCCTCCGCAATGTTTTGTAGCAAACATTGAAGAAAATAAAATTACGGTCATTTTATAATTTAACGAATAATACTGTTTTTCTTGTTATTTAAGTAAACATGTTTCCAAACTCTTAAATGGCCATTAATTTAAATTTTTAATGGAATCATTAGATTACTCTTTCTTTACAATATTATTGATTGCAAAAACAAAGTAATCTATAAATACAATATTTTATACGCACTAAATTACATATAGTCTAACAAACCTAGCTCATGCGACATGGCCAAGCAAGCCAGCTTCATTTTCTCGCTTAATACTTATGCTTAGCGTTTTAGCGAGAGTCCTCTTGATGTGCAAGGGGTATCCCACGGAACAAAGGATTCAACAGAAAATGGCAGAAATATATAATCTGATCGAAGACACTCATTTTTGTGCCATTTACTTACTTTAGCTGCCTCTAATGCCACCACGATCCTGACCGCAATTCCCCAAAGATGAGAGGTAGCTAAATTGTCTTTGCAAGTAGCATCCCAAGCGAGTAAATGTCCTAACGCATAATAATTGTAGTTATCTGTAAATATTATAACAAAGAATAATTTATATTTAATGCCCAAATCCGTATCTAAAGGGCAAGCAGTGGCAATGATAAAGTAATCGGGGAAGACCTTGTTTTGTCCAATTTCCACAAGTGACCGCGACGCGAGACAAGCGCCGTTCGGCAAGGAAACTGGTATCGTTCATTCATTTGCCTCAATCAAATCGAGTTTTGTATTGTCTGTGCGGAGCATACCTCGTTGTTGACGCGATTACAATCCTGATGTAGTGTTTCAAATCATCCCAGTCGCATCACCCTTAATATATCGGTATCGCGCACGGAAGAAGATGAAGGCCGTATTTATCGTCTGCGCGTGCCTACTTAATGAGGTTATCGGTCAGGGCAACTGGCAATTTGTCGGCAACCCACTGATACACGCTTACCCGTGCAAAAATGTCAAAGACATAGTGATGTCCTACGAGCCAGGTTTCCCAGAGGGAAAGAACAATATGTACAGTGTGCTGATCGAGAGGAACTTGCCGCCGTTTACAGAGATTGATCTGAAAACGGACATCGCTGCTGTCGTGAAGCTGGTAAGTGATTGAAAGCCTGTTTAACAGGCCAATACCACCATTGGGCTAGCCACCAATAGATTTGAACAGTTTACTTCATTGCACCTCAGAGACGCTATTTAATTATCCCATTTCATTAATTACCACCAGATTTACTCTGGACTTATCTTCTTCTTCATTACGTTTGTGAGATTATAACAAGAACTACAGATTCTATTAAAACGGTCCTTTTGTTAGTCATAAAAATAACTAGTAGCATGTTTGGATATCACTTGAAAACAAGAACGAAGTCTGAGCAAGGTGTAATTTAAATGTTTGTGAGATACGCTATTAGGAGTAGTGTATTTATTTAACACTTCATCTATATGGGAAGTGTTTTTAGTCTTTCTTCTGAAAGTTTTATTTCAAAACTGACATCTAGTTATATGATAGACAGCGACTCTATGAGTATTCATAGATACTAATAATACTTTTATAATTACTAATATAATTTTTGCAATATTCTAATTGATTAGTCACATAAGCGTCACCAAGATACATGACACAACCCGTCACATATTACGGTCAATAGGAATTTTAAAGTATACTATATATAAACGCCACCCAAACGCATACAAACAAAATCATTCAAATCGGTCCAGCCGTTTAGGAGGAGTTCAGTGACAACACACGTACAGTGAATCTAATATATAAAAAATTCTCGTGTCACGGTGTTTGTAATTGAACTCCTCTGAAACGGTTTAACCAATTTTCATGAAATTTAGTGTGCATATCGGCCAGAGTAGAGAATCGGACAACATCTATTTTTCATCCCCCTAAATGTTAAGGTTGGTCCACTCCAATTTTTTTTTTTTTTATATATAAAATTTTTTGTTTTTATTTTTTTATGATACAGCATACAAAAATACGTACCATCCTAAATTTTCACCCCTTCGCAGACGTCGTCGCGGGCAGCAGCTAGTTATATATATAAAGATAAACATGACTGGCGTTTAACGCTCGACCTATTGATTTTCCCTATAACATAGAAAAACATCCGCTAAATGCGGATTCTTAAGCGTCATACGTATAAAACCTTGTCTTTCCTCCTGTTCTTATCCTACCCATTTGGGGCATAACACATGGATCATGTTATTAGTATCAGCCAGGTTTTTTCCATGACCGAATATTTGGAAAACACCATGATCCCAATTTGTAGGGTATACAGGGTGGCTTTTCTAAGTGTATCCATTTTTTTTAATTAAATTCTAGACATAAATAGTGTTATATAAAAATGATAAATATTTAAAATCACTCGTAAGTAATTAATTACATTCATTTGAACTTATCTCAAAATGTGCGTGATTTATACGCAACTCATTTATTTTACGCGCGATCATTCAAAACTAACACGCACACAAGTTCGTGCACAGTAAAATTTAGGTATTTATGAATGACTACCGCATTGTCAATCCGTTCTGTTTTTTAGGCAATAGAATGGCATTTTTTTAGAAAAAAGAACTTTGTTTTTTATTTCAATAAACAATTATACTACCGAGTCTGAACCTCCTTTGTAAATTTGGCCACTTCTCAAAAAATCTCCCTGTATATAGATCGTGGAAACGTATTCATTTTTTGTATGACCACCGTCACGTCTTTCTTTTCAGGCTGACAAAAGTAAAGGAAGAGTGAGCGTTATCGCCCCAAACACATTTAACATCAGAACTTTCAACGAAACCGATTCAATAGCGTTCGCAGTCAAGGGGCCAAGCACGGGGCTGTTGCCATATTTTGACAGTGTGAAAATCAATGCTGAAGAACTTTGCACCAACCCACGAAAGGTAAGCACCACGTCCTCACAGAAGACCGGCGTAAAGTAAATGCCCACTTCTTTTAAAGGTGGCTTGGTGGTAGTTTTAAAGGCGTAAGAGTACCTACGTATTTTACTTTAGAAATTTTTTAATTAAAGTAGGTAGCATTCACTATTATTTCTAATGAAATGTTTTACATTAGAAATAATAGTGAACGGTATAAGCTGTTAGTGTTCTAAATTATTGTCGCAGTTCCCTTCTGAGGATTCCTTTAGCACGTAATAGTAGATATTAAGTCAGATGTATTGATTTTCTATCCCTTGTTTATTATACAAATGAGAAATGCAGCCCCTACCTATATATTTAGTTGGTCTCAGTAAAGTTCGTTTATAAAAAATTCTTGACCAATACGTATTGGTGCATGCATACGTATTGGTGGTATTTATTTACGTAAATAAACATCAACAAAGGTTACTCAAATAAAACTCATTTAACTCGTATCAGTATAAAAGTTTTAAATGTAAATAAATAACATTAGTATGTATTATTCAAATAACACTAAATTCATGCCTCTAATTGAATAAATTACATTCTCATCTTCTAATCTTACATTCTCAGATCAGGGATTTGATCCCTGTCACATTATGCATTTCTGTCCAAACTAAGAAAGTTCATCATGTATTTTTGTTTGTACTGACGAGTATCTTCTAAGCTTCAGTACTGTTTTCTATTATAGGGTTTCTTTAAAAAGTTCGTCAAGGGTTCAGATGGAAAAATTCCTCAAGGGCCTTTGGGGTTCTGTGGCAGGCGAAAAGTGTTGCACACCGAGCTCATTGTTGGCGGGACGACGACAAAGGCTGGCGACTGGCCGTGGCACGTGGCAATATACAGATTATACAAATCAGTGATAAAATATATTTGCGGTGGAACTTTGCTCTCTAAGAACTATGTTTTAACCGGTGGGAAGACTTGTTGCAATAGTTTGATGAATTTGGATGGTTAGATGAATATTGCGAATTATACATTTCTTTATTTCTTTCAGCTGCTCACTGCGCATCCATCAGAGGTGAGGCCGTGATTCCTGATATTCTGAACGTGATCCTGGGCAAACATAACCTGGTCGGGGGTGACGTGGCTATTCAAGAGAAAGAAGTAAATGGAATTCCTAATATATATGTGAATAAATAAGAAAGAAGAAGGGATAGATATATTCAAAAATGTGGTGAATGTGAGTGAGATTAATCCTGACACTGCGCAAAGTGGTCCACCATTGTCATTGTTTTTCTACATAGTCAAGACGCGAATAATGTCTTCCTATGATCGAAAAAGAAATGGCTTCACAGAAGCCATTTCCTCTACAAAACTTATTTCATTCTCTGATGATGCTTAATTAGTCTGAGCTTCCAGTACACACATTTATATATCTAACATGTCCAAAACTGATACTACCGCGCGTGTTCTTTGCGTGGTTACTAAACCATATTACTGACATATTAATTCAGATTTAAACTGTAACGTCTAAGATTCGCTTTAATTCTGAAGTAATATTTATTATAATTTATATCCTGCCTAAGACAAAATGTCTGATTCTGGCAGAAAACAATCTATCTGAATTTCAAATTCTAGTAATGCACTGGCACACAAAGATGCCACAAACAACGTCATATTAGTTCTAAGACCGTGAGGATTCTGCAAATATATTAAAAATCTACGCTAATCACTCATAACAGTAATTTTATTCCAGGTGTTTAGCGTCATTTTGCATGAAAACTACAACTTTCAACTAGGACTAGACAACGACATTGCTTTACTGAAGTTAAGGACGGAAGTGACGTACTCGGATTATGTCCAACCTTCGTGTTTGTGGACTGAACAGGTTCACGAAAGATCGCCAATAAAGGAAATTTATGGAACGGTGATAATACTATATTTATTCGTAACACACAAGGCGCACTATATAAAAAACATGAATTAGTTTTATGGGATCAAAATAATGATAATCAAAATATGTATGTGTAATAATGTACAAGGGCCGAATTGTCATCTTAGTTTAATTGCTATTTTCATTTGAATTATTTACTAGATAAGTCATGCCGAATAGGACAGAAAAAAAAAACATTAATTTCAATTTGTCTATACTTTGTTACTAAATGTCATGTTATATTTATAATATATATTAATTGTTAAGGAAAACGAGTGATTCACAATACACGACCGTGTCGAAGGAACAGTGTTTAAACGTAATAACATTTCGTTTCGTTCGTTGTATTATTTCAGTGAATGTTTGAATTGCATTCACCTAATATCTGATTCATCAATAGTACTATATTTTAATTAAGAACTATTGACTTGGTGGTTAAAAAATGAACTTCAGCAATTAAGAATTAATCTAAAACGTAAGCTAAACAACAAGACAAACGTAATAGTTTGCCACATTCTCACATTAAAAAAATATAAATATTTATTGCCATTCAATGTATTCCACAATATAAAATAAGTATATATAAAATCACGATATTGATAAATACAAACTAAATGACACGTTACCTAACAAACCTAGACCACACGATTGGTGCCAAGAATACCAGCTACAAAGTCATTCTGTTACAATTAACCTTTGAACGACGAATACATTACCCCTCTTTCCACCAGCCGCAAAAAAATTTCAAATTTATTAACTATAATATTGCATCATTACAAAATACTTCTTGTAAATTGGTAGTTACACGAGTTAATACTATAATCGTCTTGCAGATCGTAGGGTGGGGTTTCGACCAGAACAATGAACTGGCTAGTGAACTTCGCCAAGCGAACATTCCTATAATTCCTGAGAACGTTTGCTACAAAAGTAATCCGCTGTTCTACGCTAAAGTGTTGAACGAAAATAAATTCTGCGCAGGATCGAAGAACGGTGAGCTCATTACCATACTTAACAAAAGGAACACCAAACAAGTTTGTGATGTCAAAAATCCAGTTTCATAGAAACCGCTTACCTCGTAATTAAAATGCAAGAGACAAAGCCCAATGTAACGTACATCTTACGAATTTATCGACTTTGAGTAACTTGATTTTTGTTTTTCATAAAGACCCGAAAAGAGTGACAAATCAGAATTACTCACAAAATAATATTGAGTGGTGATTGGTTTGCATATATTTATCTTCTCTTAATTTTAAGAAACACATGTAAGCAGAATCTTGCACTTGAGGATCTGAACTATTGCTGGTACAATGAAATCCGCAGAAGCTATTAAATATTTTCATCGCGTAATATACATAAATACCTAGTGACAGGCATGTTTCTCTGTGCTTGTTTAAAATAAAGTAGGTCTAGATAGAGCCAATCGCCTTACGACGGTTACCAATGATTTGCAATCATTTTTATAATATATTAAGAATACTCTTTTTCGAATCCTAAAGTTCATCAGCCAAAGATTTTTAGCTTAATAAATAAACTAATGATTTTTTTATAGCTACACAGTATTTATTATGTCTTATTAATCATTAAGTATTTCAAATTTTAATCTAATGTAATAATATATTTAAATCAAGTCTTAATCTAGTTAGAATAATGTAATTCTGATAAAGTCTCTTATAGGTACTTCTGCCTGCAATGGAGACAGTGGAGGAGGTTTGTTTGTCTTCATACCAGATATTTCCCAAGATACTGCACCAAACGCCCAAGGGGCTTGGTATCTTAAAGGACTGGTGTCACTGACGGTTTCCAAGAGAGATGCAAGGATTTGCGATCCCACCCAATATGTCGTGTTCACCGACGTATCTAAGTACAAAGAATGGATAGAGAAATATGTGGAATAAACTTGATAAACTAGCATTTACAACATATTTTATTTATGGCTTTATTTAAAATTGGTAGTGACGAATTAAAATACAAATGGTCATTGGAATCATGGACTGATATTTCATTAAGAAAATCTTCAATTTAGTTACCTACTTTTCCGAAATAAAACATTTTTCTATATGATTTCAGAGACTTGATTTCAGTTATTATTTGGCGTATAATTATACCCACCCAATATTAATATGTTGCTTCATGTAAGGTATACCAACCAGATCGTTATATTGAGCGAGTGGTAATTGACGCTGGTGTTCAAATAAACCACTTGGCATAGACTAATAATATACACTAAAATACTACCAGACCATGCGTTGAAATTCTGACTTTACATGATCGACCATGAGGTCGATCAGTCGAGTCAGTCAATTGATTTTGGAAATATAGTAATAATTTATGTATCGACTATACATATATGACTTAAACTTAACCCAGAATTTTGAACAGTAACTATTATAGCTTAACAAGAAAGTAAGTTATTAATACCTTAACAAGGATTAAATTGATCTGAAAAGATTCGCTTTATTAAAGTATGAATTATTGGCTTACTGGTATTGGACTTCGACAAAGACGCAGATTTTCATATCTATTGCGTTTTACTTTAAATTTCAACCTTACTTTTACATGCAGAATAAAACTCATCTCAGCTGTAGCTTCAAGCATGCATTAGATTATTTTAGTAGAATATTTTTAAATTATTTAAATCTACAATAAAATTGATACAAGCATTCAAAATTCCCTTGAAATTCGATATTGCAAAATCTTTTTCTTCTCATAAACAACATTTTGTCTTTTTACTATGTTAGTCCTTAGTAATTGTGATAAATAAAAGGAATTCAATTACTTTTAATTCCTTTTAGAATACGATAATCCTGTTGTTGATTAAACATTTTCCTTTGAGGAAAGATCCTGGTCATTGACCTTTTAAAAGCTGTCCTTTTATTAAAATATCTTGCTTATGTCAACAAAAACATATTTTTTTTTATTTTGTTTATTAATAATCATTAACGAACCGTGATAGCTCAGTGTCCGGGCGCTCGCCTTTAATTCAATATACTCGAGCAACCTGAGTTCGATCCCGGGTGCCGGCACCAATGGAGTTTTTAACTTTAAGTGCTGACTTATCACGTGCTCCGCGGTGAAGGAAAACATCGTGAGGAAACCTGCATATTTTCGAAATAAAATATTTCGAAAATATGTGAAGTCCACCAATCCGCAGTGGGGCCGCGTGGTGGACTATGCCCTGATACCCTCTGTATAGAGGAGGCCTTTGCCCAGCAGTGGCACATGTATAGGCTGTTACTTTTTTTTTATCATTAAGCTTAATTTAATGACAAAAATATAGAAATAAAATAACTAAAAAGAAATGTATATTATGATAGATGATGTTACCACGATAATATTACCTCCGCCCATAAACTTACACTGAACGGGGTTCAAGAGATATCCAACCCTAAAATTCAGTTGGCCATTCACCCAGCACTGAAGCAAAAAATATAATTTTCTACATAATGCTGATCTTCTTCGAGGCAGTGGTAATTCCCTAGAGGAGCCTATCCATTTGTATAACAGTGGAAGCTGTTGCGTTTCCCTACTACAGAGCCTGGCAGTATCACAGTGCCCGGTAGTAGTCCCGAATACCATAAACTTAACATGGTGTTATCGAAAAGAGAATGACATTCAGTAGGGATTCAGATCCGTGACCTTAGATCACATGAAGATTTTTCAATATCTAAGTCATAACTACAATTTAAAGAATTTATAATGTTCTGACTCATGTAAAAGTAGTAGGTTATTTCATAAAATGTTTTGAAATGTTTCAAAGTTTGAATGAAGAGATCTTAGATAATTATTTTTTTTTAAATAACTTTAATACTTTTATATATTTTCTCACATTAAACAGCTTCTTAAAAGACGTTTATTGCTATTGTGGATTTAAATGATTTATAATACGTGACAAGGAATTCTCAATATCAGACAACGTTTCATTTTCCTTGTACATTCTAAAACCAGATTGGTAAATACGAATAAATATTTGCAGATACGAATATCCATAGATATTTGCAGATACGAATAAATACGAATGTTACTCGTTTATATCTGACCGCACCGCATTGGCAATATGCTGAGTAATTTATGTCTCGGGGAACATTTTTTAAGATTAGTGCAGATTTTTTTATAGAACAGCGATAAACAAACATGTACCTTTACAATACAGAGGGCGCCTAGTCGAGACTCTATGGTGGATGACTCATTTTGTCGACATATACCATAGTCAAATATTCAATTGTTCATTTCGCGGAGTGCACTGAAGCGGGAAGGACAATCCTAATTCGAGGACGAAGCTCATTTTTTTCCTTGACTTCTTTACTTTATCGATGTCGTTGTCCAATGTTGTCCGACCCTCAAAAGAAAACACCCACTGATTAGATTGTCTTTTAGTTTTATTTATTTATTTCGTCTATATTGCATTTCCTTTAATACGGAACACAATAGGCGGACGGGTTCTTAGCAATAATCTAACTATCGTCACCTGTGATGATATCAAATACAGCATAGGTCTCACCACCGTTGAACGTTTCTAATGTTTCGCGACACAAATCTATGCGAAGGCATTTCTGGCCCTCGGTCAAAGAATGGGGATTCCATCTGGAACAAAGATTCCTGACGCCAAAATGGGCGTATAATACTTTTTGAAATTATCAATGCCTAGTATGAGACATTGTAAGTTTTGCATTTATTATAATATTTATTTCAATTATCAACACTATACTAATCTTTGGTAAGCATCGAGATCGTTCTTCAAATATTTATATTATAACTTGTACCACATTTTCTCTTTAACTGCTGTTATCAATATATAAACTTTTGAATATAGTTTCACCTGTAATTGTGATGCCATTTAGTTTGATTTTGATACCATGTGGTTACTTATGTATTTCTAAGCAACTAAAATAGTATAGACCGGATCTAATCTAAGGTGCTAGATTCTTCATTAGTATGTTAAAAGTTTTTCTTCGTCAATTTGTTTTATGTGAAAATCTAAATACATCTTCTATATAGGTATATTTTCCAATTAATTGCTCCTGGCGTAATTATGCTTGTAGCCCCTAGTGGTTGTGAGAGGTAGGATGAAGGTGGCGTCTCAAACTTCAATATTATACATCGTCTTAGCATATTATCTTAAATTATTTGCACATGTATTCTAAGATTTTATTATCTATCAGATTCATTATTCAAAACTATGTCAATACCAACTGTAAACACATTTGATCGCAAAGGTCAAATGAATCTCATTCTGTTAGATTCAAAACATATATTAGGAATTGGATTCAATATTAGGAAAAATCATAATGGTACGATAAAATCGTACCAATGGGCTGCGAAGAATGAAAAAAGTGAAGTGTATTTTCAATTCACCGCTGGCCGAATGGAACAGATCCGTCCGGGAAAGTATCACAGAAAACTGGTGTGACGTGGAATTGTTACACACCATATCCTCTAGTGAGTGATCTAAAAAAAGCCCCGTTTAAAGAGTGGCAATGCACATACAACCCTACGAGTGTTGCAAATTCCATAGGTGGAGTTTATCTCTTAAAATCAGATGCACCGCCAGCTCACTTACCACATAAAAACTCATTTTAAATATGTATTATTATTTTTGAATACACATAATATTAGTTATCAATAATGACATCTATCAAAAGTTCCAAGATTTCGGACAGTCATTCATTTTAGCATCGCTTGCCGATTTTTTGAACCAAGTCTCTCAATATTATCAGCTAATTATTAATCAGCTATATTATTAATCATATTAATTCGGGGATAGCGATCTCTTGTATTCTTTTAATATAATTAATAACATCATGCCTCATCACCTACAGTTATTTTCAAATTGTTAAATATAACTGACTATATGTCAAATTAATTTATGTCCTCTTCAACTGAATACACACTAAAAATATGTATCACATTATATCTAATGAATGATTGTTACTCTTACATCTTTTGGCATTGTAATCAAATATAGGAATTTAAAATCAATTTTAAAGATTTTCTGTTTAGCATTTTTAAGCGGCATCTGTCGCTAACTTCTAGTACTGGAAAACTAGCAATCTTCCTATTCTTTTTATATTTAGTAAGCACAAACAGGTTACGTTACATCATTATATTTTCCATGTTGCAGACACTTTAGACTTTGACAAAAATACTGGACTGTTGTTTGTCTAAAATTAACTTGTTAGAGTGCATGATAAAAATTATTCTAGTGTTACTTTTAGAAGAAAAACATTTGAGGAAAGAAATAGTTTATATATAATATCAAAACCATTCATTAAGTAGTGTAGACAATATATGTAGTTATCTTAGAACCGGATAAAACTTAGATTTTAAGTGCAAAGTCTGCTTCTGAGTTATCGTTATAATATAAATAGCGTAATAGTCGACTTCTGAGTTTTTTATCTTACGGTAACACTTAAATGACGTTTAATAATCACGCTATTTATTATCGTAGATAATGATATAAATCCATTATAACGTATGTACGGCAGTTAATATTTTTGCGCCGTTTTCACTGTAATTTGTACTCTAGATTTAAGAAAGATTTCAGATTAACCAAAGTTGCCAATTTATTAGGGTTACAAAATAAATGTAACTATTACTTTCACAAACACTGTTTCATCCATTTCAGTTTCGTAAAATTGTTAAGTTTCATGCATGTGCTATACGACTGCAAAAGAACGGGCACATTTCAGTTTCACTGTCGAATGTTTTCCCTGCAACTACGCCTCTTGAACTTGATCGCTTGATCATTTAAACCGAGACGTGCAATCGTATTAAGCGCTTACTTTCGTACAAATACGCCACGCTCTACATAAAGTGTTTTAATATTTCAATTAACTTAGTATGTAATTCTGCAAGTGTGAAAACAATGCAAACATTAATAATAACTTTGGCTTTATCTGTGAGTGGCGTCTTGGGCCAAGAAGGCTGGTCTATAGTGGGTAATCCACTATTGCACGCTCATCCCTGTACGAACGAATCAAGCATCGTTACTTCTTACGAACCCGGCCAACCACCAGGCGAAGAAAACCAATACTATGTACTGATATCAAAAAGCGTCCCAAAGTACACGCAAATAAACCTAAAATTCGACATCGAAGCGGTTGTGATGATTGTAAGTAGGTTCATTTATTCTCTCGCATCCTTTTGATTTATCCGACATGAAGTAATAAACCAATCTATTTATTATCTACAACAGCCAAGGAATTGCATCAGCGTGATCAATCTTAGAAGCTTAACTAACTTTACTCTCACGGTGAAATGCTAAGTTGTTCTCAGCGTGAACCGTCTGCAAGGTCTTCCTTATTAGAGCATGCCTTATTGTATAGCAAAAGCTAGTAACAAACAACAAACTTAATTAAACAAAAACAACAAACTAAATAGTCGACTGACAATGCAAAGATTGTATTTATCTCTAGAAATACGTACATCCTCCGAGTGAATATTAGCAGTACATATATGGTTTGGTACCAACTGCCAAAAAAAATTATATCATCTATAAATTATATTTGCACCTGACAAATTATATTTATTTAGATATTTTAATTGATAAATTACTGCTTAAGGACAACTCAACACAGGCCAGAATTACTACTACACATGACGACGTTTTCAACTTGCGATTCTTCGGTGCTGCCAACTCAGTCGGATTTTTAGTAAAAGGGCCTGCCAATGGAGCTGTGCCATACTTTGAGAGCATACAAATAAATAATGTTGAATACTGCAAAAATCCCTTGAAGGTAAGTAATGGCTAATTGCAAATAACAATAAGGTGAGTCATTGATCAAGTAGTTCTTGGCAAGGAAAGAGATTGCGTCGTGTTACATTAACTCTTAAGTGAAGCTATTTTTCGGAATAGGCTTATGTATATAGGCATGGTATTCATTAATTTTTAAATCTTAGCACAAACTATTGACATTATAAGAATATTAAGGCATATTAATTAAATAATTGTCCTATCACGGATGAATGTCGAAAAATTTAAATCAGTCAGACGTCTGAATGTTGGTAAGCATTGATTTTTATAGATTTTCAACCCATCAATCTAGCTAATAACAAGAGCATGTTAGCAATAGACTCGCTACTATGTTTGTATATTATTTCGTTTTGTTATTTTTAAGTTTTATCCTGAACATTATTGTTATAAAACGTCCTTGACTTATGATAGCATAACAACAATTTTTGTCTGTCTTCTGACATGTTTCTTATATAGTCACTGGATCTCTCCTAATACTTTGAATAATAAAAGATTCGAGATAGGTTTTATGAACCTTGTTCTTTAATAATAAAGATACAAATAATAAATTCATTAATCCGTTAGAAACGGGTTAACATATAAAAATTTTATGATATTCCAGTTTAACACCAAATCAGGTGGGTATTGTATATGTAACAAAAAAAGTTAACCTTCACTGCTTAGAAAATGTTTATTATTGTCGTTATGGACTGACAATCTCTCTACTTACTTCGACAATTTGTTTGCTTATTGTGACAACAATTTTCACTTTAGTCCCTTATTTGCTCACAGGTAAATAATTAACATTCTCCGAAATTTAAATTTAAAAGTGATCTAACTTCAAAAATGTTTATTTGAAAATTACGCCTTTCCATACGGCGTCCGTAAAATAGTTTCATTTCGCGTAAAAACAAGAAATTGCAGTTTCAAAAAGACTATTTGGATCGGAGCAGAGAATAAACATATACTGACGATGATGTATAATCTTAACCGCTGATAACTTTTAACCCCAATGATAGGTGATTCATGTTACTCTAGGGCTATCTGGACTCTTACATTTCGGGCTACAAGGTTACCGCTGAGACACATTCAAAAGCACCGGATGGCAAATGCGGCCGTCGTAAAATCAGCCACACAGAGCTAATTGTCAATGGAGCTGACACGAAGCCGGGTGACTGGCCCTGGCATGCAGCTATTTATAGGACAGATAGAGCGACGGCAAAATACATATGCGGTGGGACCATCCTATCCAAACACTTCGTCCTGACAGGTAAAAGATAATGGTCGAGTTAAATATAAAACTTATGTACACCCTCGTTTTTGATTTCTTATTCAGTTGAAATCGACGAAGGGAAAATGTCTACATCCCCAACAAAAGACTGTTTCTTTCATCTTTAAATAGTCCCTCGCTATTACTGAGATAAACATACATGGTTTCCTCTAAATCTTGTATTTTGCAGCCACGTCAAAAACCCAACTTACGGTAGGTATTTAACGTATCATGAATCTTATCACCCTAAAGCATAATATACGCCGATCGCAGCTTATTTAAGGTGCATAAGGAAAATTGGTTTCGAAAATTGACTCAAAACATTTTTTGTGTATTTTTATTTTTAATTATTATCTGCAGTCAGGATTAAATTAAAAACGGTCATGATGTCATCGATCACTTAGTACAGTTGGTTAAGCGTCCGGGCGCGAAACCAGAAGGCGAAGGTGCGAGTCCCGCAGCGTAGAAAATTTTTGTGCATTTCTACAAATATTCGTATTCATATTGCAAAACATGTTATTAATGTTTTATGACAATACGCGAGATAAAGTGTGCATAAAAGATTAATTGATGTATTGATGAAGAAGTGGCAGAAACATAATCGAATTCGTGAATGGTTGAATCTTTTGGACTTCCCAATATATTCGCTTTACTCAACTGAATCTTCGATCTCGTTAACAATTCATTTATCCATTATTTCAGCTGCTCACTGCACAACGCTCCGAGGCGAACCAATTTTACCTGAGATATTGAACGTCGTCCTTGGAAAATATAATCTATATGGAGGAGATTTAGAAACGCAAGAGAAACAGGTACGTTTGAGATAATTTTTAGATAGCTTTATTGTTTTTCTAATGAAAATTATTTTTTGTTGGTTGATTTCTCTAATAAGGTAGGTTCTTAAGCTGTAAATTAATAGTTTCTATACACCGTGACTATATATATGACATATGTAACACTTAACTACTCATGAAAAAGAAAATATTTACTGAACCAAAAAAAAAGCGCCAACCCTAATAACATAGATTTCCATAGATTTTTTAAACTGAAGATAAAAACTGTGTATCTATAACTGTGAAATCGCAATAGAAGTAAATCAAACTGCTTCAACTACTGGCGTCTTGAAAGACAAGAAATAATATGGTGTCAATTACAAATCATCTCAATAAATCTTCATCTTTAGATTACACGCCCGCATTACTTGATTAATTGCCCGCATAGTAGTAAAGAAAAGGTCAACACGCTTGACAGGGTCCATTACATAATAATGGTTAGCATTATTTGCTTATATCAATAAAGTTTCAATCTTGAAGTTTTATTTTTAAAATTATTATTCTCGTGTCCAGTTTAAAGGGTACGGGATATGAGCAGTTGTGATACGTTTTCATGGAATTGGATGAAACTCTTGTAGAACTGTGTTTACACAAATGTATAACATAATATGAATTTATTGTATAACATGTATTTATTTACAAATGAAAAGTATGTTTAAGTATGTACCCATAGTACGTGCCTTGCTTAGTTTGGGACTAGAGAACGTTGTGTAAAAATTTGTTCTAAAATATTTATTATTATTTATTTTCTCGTCTGGTTGGGTTTATAAATATAAATGAACATATAGATATATATTTTCTATAATAAATAAATATTATTATGTATAATACATAAATAAATAGGACCCAACCAGAAACCCTGGGCAGAGGAGATCCGCTAGTGATCAATCACTACTATCAATAGTGATAACCAATCACTATTGATAGTAGTGTCACTATTGTGTAGTCAACTACTATCTCATCTGACGTTAAGTGAGGTGTAGTGTTAGATGGTGAACGCACTAGCTCAGTAACAGCCTATTCACTCTTGCCTTGAAGACACTAGCATCATAGTCGTACGGGAAAACTGACGCTGGTAGACTGTTCCACTCATTCGCTTTCGTAATGTGGACACCATTACGAGAGGATCACGAATATCTTCGTTCGTAGGAACAGACAAACAGAAACAAAAGTTTGGAGTCCTGCAGAGCATCTAGTTGTCCGATCATGGAACGGGGAGACGATTAAATTATGCAGACTCCTCTTAAATAACTTTTGTTCAATGAAATAATATTGATTTTGTGTGGAAAATGTTAGGATAAATTAGATAGTTCGGATAGAGATAGACAGAAGACGATTAAGCAATTACAGAAGATGATTAATTATGAAGCGAATCTGTACATTTAGCGATGCGTTAAAAGAGACTTATCCATCTAATAATTTATTTGGAAAGCGCTCAAAAATTACTGAACTAATGTTTTTTTAAACGAACGTTACATATAGGCCGAGGGTTAGGGCGAAAGGGAGAGAAAACGGCGTACGATACGGAGTATCGAGGAGCACCGCCTTCTGCATTTCAGCTTGGAGCGATCCGTATCGGAGTCCCAGTCGTCTTAGATGTTCGGAGATGCTGACTGGGATTAACCCATTGGCAGAAATGACTATCGGGATAATTTCGGTCGGCACCCCGCCCCACATGTCGATAACCTCGTGAACCAGGTCCAGGGATACCTCGTCTTCTTATCTGTTCCGGCTTTCACGAGGCTTTAATTTTATTATTCTTATTATTCACCTTTTTATTTACTATTTACGTGTACATTGATATTTGAAGTGACGATTTTCTTAATTTATCCGGTTTATAGGTCCACGAAGTACTCGTCCACGAGGGCTTCGTTCGTAAGCAACTGGACAACGATATAGCTCTGCTCAAATTGAAATCCGAAGTAACTTTTGGGGACTATGTGCAACCTGCGTGCTTGTGGTATCCAACGGCCGTTGATAAATTACCAAGTGACACAATAAAAGGGACGGTAGGTGACTCATTAGAAGCAGGTACAATATTGGATATTACGAAATTGTTTCTGTGCAAAAAGTTTTGAAGAAAACGAAATGTAAATTATATCAGCGACTTAATCCACAATGCAACCTTTTCATATATGGCACTAATCATTCATTTCATTTTTAAATTTGGCGGTGCACCTTATGTCAAGTGATAACCACCCATTGACAAATGCATCACCCGTATGGTTGCAGATGCGTTGCCAACTTTTCATAAAGTGGACCCCGGCTAACTCACTCACCAAACGAAACGCAGAAGTATAACACTTCCACTTCTCGCCGGTCTGATGTGAGGCCGTGGCACTAACCCGGATCTACCTGCCCATTCGTGCAACGAAGACTGCTATGTGGCTATGACAATATGACTGGTATTATAGCATGTAAATAAAAGTGTAAAAATATTCACCCGCTACTTCCCTAGCTAAAAAAGCTACAATACTGTGTACAAAGATTATCTTCATATATATTTTTAAACTATGTGTTTTGTCCACTGATAATTATTATTACTTAGGTATTTGTTATTTAAGAAAAATTTCAAATTCAAATGTAGCTTTTGATTAATAATAATAATGAGTAGATATAATAATTTTAAAATTTTACAGTTATTGAATCAACTAAATTAATGCTTCTTTTCTGTCTTTTAACTATGTTCCTGACGCGGTTGGCCCATCAATAATCAAATCCTCTTTGTCTGATCTAGCATGTTCTATACGGTGTATTAGTGTTATATACCAAGTATTATTCTAACCCTCAGGTGGTAGGATGGGGGTTCGATCAGAACAATGCATTATCGACCGAGCTCAGACAAGCAACAATGCCAGTAGAGTCTGAAGTGAGGTGTATTAAGAAAAATCCGCTGTTTTATTCGAAGATTTTGGACAGCAAAAAATTCTGCGCAGGGCTGAATAATGGTAAGAAATTCAATTGCAAGTTGTTAATTTATAGTACTTAAGTAATATAAAATTAAAGAAAAACCTAATGTCATATTCATGATTTGTCTTTAATGTTCATGTTGTATATATTGCATGCAATATTGATATATGATGTGATAAACTGATTATACCAAAAAGACCTAAAAAATAATAAATGTCGATTTATTTTTCTAATAATAGTTATTTATTTTTCTAGAAATAGTTATTGAAATATCGATAATTTTTGTGATAGCACATATCATTATGTGCTATCACAAGCTAGTATGTCAGTCCTTTCTTTTATTACTATGAAATGAAAATTTCACAATTCATTTTTAAGACGCGTTATTTTCAGGGTGGGTTGGTTTTATGAAATGGGAAAACTTGAACTGAGTGCAGTTATAAATTAGGTACTTGTAAAAAAAATATACGACCGAGAAGATTGAAAATCGCAGGCAACATTGGGGAGGGAATCTACTCTATTGTCTAACACTGGGTAAAAGTGGGTGGCGGAATTGAAACGTAGATACGTGTATAAAAATTAACCTCGCTCCGAGCGTAACGTTATGCTGGACTATCTTGAAAAAGGCGAAGCAATAAGACGCTATTGCATCCTCCCTAATTCCTTTTGTGAATAAATAAAAGTAAGATTTACCAGAAACAATGAGATGTTTATCCGTATAATTTTCGCGTCTTTTTTATGTGATAACTTTTCACGAGCACCTTGCTCACCGAATGTTAATTATTTACCGCCGTAATCACATCTTTTACACCAGACGCGTTGTAGATGGGTATTCATCCTTAAATTCAGGGGACCCTGGTAATTTCATCCACTTGAAAAAGCTCGAAAGTTTTTCATTCTGATGAGCCTGCCCATTTTTGCAACAGCTGAAGCAGTTGTGTGGCCTTAATGCAGTAAAAAGTGCCATTTATCTATTGAATACAGTTAGTATTGCAACTTCATCAGTTTTCAAACAATAAAAACACCTTGGTTCCAAACAACCAAAATTTTCATGGAATAACTGTCGTAACTGTAGTAAGTCTCTTTTTTGAAGAATCATTTTCAGCAGAATCGATGGAAAAGTTGAGATCAAGGTTGGGATTATGTCAAAAAAAATCATTTGTTTCTTGACTAGGTCACGATCATTTTAAACCATCCTCATAAATGCACATGCAATACCAAAATAAATGATTGAACTTGTATAAATGAAATATCGGATATATTAAATCTGAGAAATAAACATTTGATGGAGCCATAATGGTAACGTGGAATGATAGGTAATGCTGATTGAATTAAGTCTACCTCTGTACAATATATTTTTGGTGTGCATAAATAGGTCAGTTAATATTAAAGCCACTACCAGAAACCAACGAAAGGCCACGTGACATAGCACCATACATTCGATATGTACAGATATTACCCATTCCTTTATTAACTGTCAAATTCAAGTATTTGTATGAACTTTATTAGTCATGATTATAAATTGAATATACCACTACTAATCGAGCTTAATGATCTTCAGGTCTTGGTGTCTGTAGTAGGCCTGGATCAATTATTAATGAAATTGCAATAAGTGATTTAGCGAACAATGATTAAGAGAAACAGGGTAACCATGGCTGAGATCTAGTATACTGTGCAATTTCAAGACAACCTACTGCATGACTCTTCGACTCCAACAGTAAACTGATCGGTTCCAGGCACATCGGCGTGCAACGGAGACAGCGGCGGCGGCTTCCACGTGTTCGTGCCGGACAGCTCTGGTGACGCTTCCGCCGATGCCAGTGGCGCATGGTACGTCTACGGCATAGTCTCCCTGAGCGTATCGAGACGCGACGTCGCGCTGTGCGACCCTACTCAGTACGTGGTGTTCACGAAAATCGCCGAGTACAGGGGCTGGATATTGAAATACGTCCAATAGCGTATATATACATATGAGTGGAGAAGGTAAAGAGTTTTTTTGTGATTTAGAGTCTATCTCTAAATCACAAAAAAACTCTTAAAAAAACCAGGAAAAGAAAGGACGTATATTAAACAATTGATCCAAGTTCAGTCCCAATTTTACTACAAATGTTAAATGTTTTTATTATTACGTTGGCGAGATTTTTCTTGGTCGATTTTTCTAGAAAAAACTTGAAAGAAATTATTAAAACAAACTGCTTAAATGGATCAGATCATAAATGATAATTTAATACATAATTTGTAGCTCAGGTAAGTATGACGATATATCTATGCCCATTACTTGCTAATTGGATGCTCCAAATAGCCTGACATCAATTACAAATTGTTATTAAACGTGGAATATCTCATACTGTAGTTTTATTGAACAATTTAAAGCATACTTATGTGCATTTTTTAACATGCAGGGTGACCAATCTGAATAATAATTTTATCTCCACCTAACCTTAAAATTAAAGAGATTGAAATTTAACAGCCGATAGTTTTAGAAAAAAATCGTTCGTATGTTGGAAATATTTTTCTTACAAAATATGCAGTATCCTCACAGTGTTATCCTTCATCTTTGAGCCAGAAATAAATCGGCTCAAAACGTACAGCTAAATCTATGTTGAAAATATATTTTTTTATGTGAGAAAGTGGCAAACGATCTGGCGCATCACCTGATGTTAAGTGATAACCGCCGCCCATGGAAATTTGCAACACCCGTAGAGTTGGAGGTTGTGGTACTTACCCGGACGGACATTCCCATTCATGCAACAGGGAACGCAGTTCCATGGTCCTACCACAGTTAAATAAGGTTGTCGTTCGAAAAAAGTTAATGTTCGATGACTCCGTTGCACAGTTGATAAGATATTGGCTTTGGAGTCAGGGTTTGTGGGTTAAATTTCCACACTGAACAACTATTTGTGACACTGACACCCACAGAGAGTTGTTTCGTATCTGCGAGTTTGTCCATGTAAAATTTATGTTTGTAAATCGTCCTTACAACACAAGATAATGTTGTCTTAAAGTGAGGGCAACTGTATATAAAAAATATTTGTATGAACCACCGATGACTGTATCCGTTTGTATCTGGTTGTTGTCTTAGTGAAATTTGTTTGTAAAATGATTAGTTATGAAAAGAATAAAGGAGAGCAAAAGATACACTTTCTGGTCATAATAATCAGGCGTTAATAACAAAAAATATGTATAACTATATGCTTTATCGATCACCACAAAAACATAAAAAGAAATGTTAGAAAAAGGAAAACTTATGTGGTAGATACAATAAGGCTGTTTTATCGCTAAAGAGCGATCTCTTCCATAATAAATTAGAATACATTTTAATAGCGGAGGGTCATAACTAATTCATAAAATAAGAATTAAGAAAATTTTAAAATTCTCCGAATTGCGAATTAAGGACGTATACGAAGAATATTATTACGAACAAAGTTAAATAGAAAATTAAATTAAGTTTCCAGTTTAGAAATTTTAGCGTAAACAACGGAACCCCATAAGTCTTCGGCATAGTTATACTGAACAATTTCGCAACTAATGGATTTAACGAGAAGTCATTAAATATCCTTAAAGTTATTTTGATAGCCAATGCTATATTAAAATAATCATTAATAAAACACTTTTTCAGGTAACTCTGCAAAAAAGTGACATTATTTTAATGTAATGTTTTCACAATCCCTTGTATCTTTTATCTTTGGATTTCGCGGGTTCAAGATAAACAGGCGCTTATGCCCGCTGTTTGATTTCCAGTCATTACTTTTAATTTAGTTGTTAAGTTTTAGGTCTTTAGTTAAGCATAATTAACATACTCGTAAATTGCTGCCTACATCTAGCTAGATCTTCAAATTAATTTAATTGTTAAATATTAATTAATGTAATTATTTTGTAAGTTATCCCTAAATATATTGTATATCTATTATTTCAATGGAAAAAACGTAGTTTCTATATTTTTGTAGTTTCGATAAGTTTAATCTTCATTTGTATATAGATGAAAGTTAGAAGCGCGTTTATTTATCAAGGTTTTACTGCAGATGTTTATGTCTAGGCGCAGGAAGCGCATCATTACTTCGATAGAGTTTAATTTTATATAGTTGCTGACTCTTTCGTGAAGATTGGGACAAGTACAATATTTTTATTGGAACCAACCTTTACGAAAGAGACAAACATATAAAACAAGAAATATATAATTTAAAAAGAATGACAAAAAGACTATTATAATAGTGGGTTCGTAACATTCATCTGGTAATGGTTTGTTCGAGCATTGTATATCCGAACCAATTGTAAATTTGAAAAATTATGTACGTAATTTTATGAGTTTTTTCATGAAAACATTAAAAGCTATATATTAAGCATATGAATTTTATCGGATAGTTTTTGAATTGCGGACCCGATCGTGTAGAAATTTTGTGATATTGTTGGTTATTTACGTGATAGTTTTATAGCATGTATAATGAACAATAAGTTGCGTGCGAGTCGCGTTGAATAATCGTCAGTCATAAAAAAATTGCACTGATTTTATTGGCACTTACGTGAAGGTTTTTGGCATAGCGCCAATAACGGAGCGGTAAGCGGTACGCGAGTTGCATCTAGTAATAATTCTTTCCAGTATTATTGTTATAATGTAGCAATAGTTTTTGCAAATACTACAATAGTCACATAATTTCATAACCGAAACCAATTAAAAATGCTTCTACAACAATACGTGATACAAGTGAAAATTCTTAAAATAACAAAATCTGTGTGTTATTTATGACGTATGGCTCTCTCTTTGTCCTTTTCATCCTTACTATCCTTACTAATATTATAAACGCTAAAGTTTTCATGTATGGTTGGATGTTTATTACTCTTTCACGCAAATACTACTGAATGGATTCCAATAAAACTTATGGCTTATATATTATTGTAAAGTTTTATTGGAACATAAGATGGAACACATCAGAATAAGACATAGGCTAGGTTCATATACATATTTTATGTATGTCTTTCTGTCTGAATGTTACGCTTTCAGCCTATTCTATGCAGACATAGTCGCGGGCAGTAGCTAGTGTTATATATTTCTTCTCTCTCTGTAACGAAATGTGCCTGAACCTAACGAAATGTTCTTGAAATATCCTTCTTATTTCTTATCCAATTATCGAATCGTCTTTCACTCTGATGACTTACAATGAATCCGAAACGAAATCATTTGAAACTTAAAACATGAATTTGAAAGACATTCCCGTCGAACTGAATCGCGCAGCGCTATAAATTTAAGGATTTCCAAATCACTAGGCTAGATGTAGTTGAACATGAAAGGTTCGCAAATTGTTCACTGGCTGCAGTCATTCGGTTGGCATAATTGAACCACTCTAGCAGTTCTCGCTTACGGTTGGCCGACACTGCGAGGTTGCAGTGTTTGGTGCCGAATGCCTCGATGATTCTGTCTTTTGCTCACACTGCTATTCATCCCTACATGGTATAAAATAAAGTCGTCCTGCTGTCTGTCTGTCCCTATAGCCTAGATCTTTAAAACTACGCAACGAATCTTGATTCGCTTTTTTTATTAGAAAGAGTGATTCAAGAGGAAAGTTTATGTGTATTATACTTCATAATACATAGCACCCGTGCGAAGCCGGGGCGGGTCGCTAGTAAAAATATGATAATTAATATTAATTTCAATAAAAATTTACCACTGTCAGACTACTTGATAGTTGGTCGAAATATACTTTTCTTGTTTGATTGCGATCAAATGAAACTTGAATATTGCGAGGAAGTTATATTGACAGGTTGTCAGAAACACAATACAAATCGATCCTGTGGTTTGTGCGTACTTGAATATCTTCTGTTTAAGAGAACTGATTACTGTGAAACAAAAATTTAATATTGCACAGAAGTAATCTTCATATACTTTCAAAAACACCAACCAAATTGTTCCAGTCGTTGGCTAACTGTGATAACAGTTGGCGGCTGCATTGCTTGAATCTGAGTTCTCCCATACCAGTCAGATAATAGCTACCGATCGAGCCGAGGTCCGGCCCTCTCGGGCACCCTCGAATCGGAATGCTAAACGCGTGCTGAGTGGACAGCCCAAGCCGAGGTCCCCTCTCGGGGACCCATGAGCCTGATCACTCCATGGAGCGCCCGCCAAAGCGCCCTAAGAGCTTGGCGGCCTCCCAAACCGGTGATAATAATAGCTTGACGGCCCGAGCCGAGGCTCCCCCGGGAGCCCTCGAGCTTAGTCGCCATAACGCGTACTAATATTACGCCGCGGTTCAGGCTAGGCGCCTCGTGCGCCAGGCCACCTCAAGTCCGCCGGATCTGTAAAGGCCCCTAAGGCCAACAGTGGCTCATCCAGCCCAAAAAAAAAAAAAACAAAAAAAAAAAAAAAAAAAAAAAATTCTCCCATATCTTCTGTTTGAGTGAACCGATTGCGTTGAAACAAGGCCCATGCGTTGCTGCAAGCTTAGCTTAAGTGATTAATACTGCATCAAAATCCGATAACTAATTTTGAAGTTTTAAGCGAACAGACGGACAGACTGACAGTTTTACATGACCTATCACTCTTTTTGAGAAACCCTATTTAATTTTTTCATAAATATATACAATGTTTAAACACATCGATTCTACCTCTTTCATTATAGTAGCGATAACGTTTTTAAACTGATTTATTAGTTATCAACATGCGACGGAAAACACAAAGCATTTTAAAAAGATATTTAATGATTACATACTATCTCAGATATAAGTTCACGTCAGCAGATTGAAATAAAAGTTCCTCAGCGTATATCGTACGTATATCTCCATTTGGCGTGGCATAATATCACACTGGCATCGCTTCTCTAAATTAAAAGCAATCACTACTGCAGTTCGCGCGTTTGAAAAAGAATTTACGTCCCTAAGAAGATTTCTTCCGGTACAAAAATGAAATTCTTGGCTATATTCACACAAGATGCAACGTATTTCCTTGAATTGTATCCTGTTTAA